TTGGAGTTTATTCAAAGGTAAATGTACATAAGTCAACTTCTGTTCTGGAATGTCTAGAAAATGTGCTTGTATTTATATCAGTGCTGAAGTAACAGAATCCAAATGTCACATCAGATCTACACGACATACACAGGACAGGAGAAGACGACATTGACATTAGGGAGACCACTGGATGTATCACGGTCTGTTGGTGAAATGTAATTTTTACAAGACATGCACCTTGTGATGGCCGTGCCCACAGCCCAGAGATGGGAGTCGAGTTTGTGACTCGGACAGCATAAGAACTGGTGTCAGATTATTAGCTTTACAGATATTGTTTTCAAATTTGAAATATGAGTGCAATACAAGTTTTAGTTTAGTTCCCACCTCCTAATGCTGCTTTATGCTCTTTTATTTTCAAGGAAAAAAACTTAGGCGATGTGATCAAAAAAATTTTTGTGATTATTGAAATGGAATAACTTTTTACTGGCAGCACCTGGAATGATTCTGATTGCTGTGGCTAAAACTAGAGTGTTATCTTTACAGCAAAGGTCAAACTTTATATACGCTCCCTAAGGGTCAATAACAGCATTCATTTTAATTTGGAGATGTCATTTTACAGGTTTGTGGAAGAGGCATGCCAAAGTCTTCCCGAGGCTCTGTCTTGTGGCTATGAGCGCTCGCTGTTCCTGCCACCAGTGCACCAGGGGAGAGGCTATTCAGTCACGGAGGCCTAATCATGCGCCCTCACCGAGCCAGGCTTAGTGCAAGGACATTGTCCAGCTTGATCTTTCTGAAATGTCACCATTCTGTTGCCTGATACTTTTCTAGGTCTGACAGCAGGCCTCTGGAAGACCCCTACAAGCTTGTTCATGTTTAGCTGGTGTGTTAAGAGTAACATAAGAGAAACCATTCTGATCTTATTGTAGGTTTGTTAAATATTTAGTTTGAGGCAGAACAACACTGGTAAACCAGTCCAGACAGCCAGTAAGTCCAATGATATTCCTTTCTGAGTTTTACTTTTATGCAAGGAATCCTTTTTGTCCTGCAAAGAAAGGAGCCTTAAAGTTTCCTTTAAAGGAAGTCATTCATTGTGTTTTCTTCATCTTGCATTGCAGGACCCTGTTTAAAGTCATATATGTAGTATATCTGGATGGATGTGCAGACGGTGTACTCAGTGCAGCTTGTGTTGTTGACCCTCTGTTTTTATTTTGATGCACGCGTTGAAGAGCGAGCAGAACGTTGGCTAGACGTTTAGGGTCTGTCCAGCAGCTGTCCCGGAGAACTTCTGGAGGAGATCCAGAAGTCAGATCCCCCAAGAACCACCATCCTAAAGTTTACAAAGGTCTTTGAGCGTTTTAAGTGGTTTTGAAGACAGTCTGTTTACACTACATGGTACATGTTTGCAGCAAAAGCGTTTCTACAATTGTACTTTTTGTCAGTACAAAAGTTTTAACAACTTACATGTTAAGAGCAAGAAAGCTCTTGTAGCAGTTTTAGAAATGTTAGATCAGCACTTTTGTTACTGGCCAATTTTTGAAAATTAAGAATTCAAATGTGCTACAAATTTGGAGTCCCGTCTGATTTTTTTCCTTTTTTTTTTGTTTTGTTGTTGTAGTTACAGCTGCTTCTCTCTGTTAACATGACATCAGATATCACAGGCTGTCCAGATTGTTTTAGCTGCAAGCTTGATAGCAGGCCTGCAAAATGATCAACACAAACATTAGAGATAAATTAATGACATCTTTATTATGGTGTCTTTATGTCATTTTATGGAAATGACTACAAATTTCTGTCATTTTATATACACTTCTTTGGTATTATTTGGAAAGATGCTAAAATTACATTAAATTTCAATATTTAGAAATGTCAAATTGCCTTTAAAAGGCATAATAATACTGTAATCTCATATTTTAAGGGTAAATCTTTAAATTTCTACAACTATTACATTGTTCTAAATAAAAATGGTGATATGCCTGTAAAAAAGAACACAGAACAATAAAAACTTGGTATTAACCTACAGGGATTTTATTGTTTGTTTTTTTGAAAAGCAAAAACCTGTAAGAATACAGGATACTTAGTAAAATAACATTATTTAAACTGCACTTTCTGTGAAATATTTTTAATTATGTTTACAGTAATGTACTGTAGATTATTTTTGTGTCCATATAAATACTACTAATTACCTCTTAAAAATAAAAATGAATCCCTTCAATCACACAAGCCTAATGACTACAAATTTCTGTCATTTTATACACATTATTTCAGTGTAATTATTAGGAAGGATCTGTAAAATTACATCACATGTTGAGTAAAAATGAAAGTTCTAAACTAAAAAATACATTAAATTGCCTTTAAAAAACAATAATAATGTAATCTAATATAATGGCTGTTCTGACTCCTGTCAGTGACTGAAAAAGTTAAGTTCCCCCTGCTGGTGATTTTCAGTTACTGCGCCTTTAAGGATCAGGCACATTAAGTGTGCATGCATAAGCTGCAAGTGCTCCACCACAGAGAGTTGGTTGTCGGAGTCTTGGAGTGGAACCAACAGTGAGTAGAGATGATTGTTTGGTTGTTTGTGGCACGGTGATCTGGAGGATGGCATTTGAGGTGTTTTTGTGTCACGGAAACCGTGCTAGCTATGCTAATGCTAATCGCGACGCAAGAGGCTAGTTGTTGTTAAACCTTGTTAATGTTATATGCTATGTTTATGTGTGAACCATATGACTGTTTACTGTGTTTACACTGTTACTTACCTGTGGAAGCATACTGGAAAGAAAGATGTTTACCTTATTTAAATGTGTGATGTACGTACCTGTTTTCTAACCTGGGAAAGAAGAAAATGTGACCAGTGGTGTTGCATATAGTTAGTTTCAAATTGTAACATTGTGTGAATGTCATTGTGTTGCAGTTTTACAAAAAAGTACTGAGAAGATTCAGTAAAGCAGCTTCATTCAGATCTACTGGGTCTCTCAAGTTTGTTCGCTATCTGTCAGCCAGGACAGAATAATTACAACATTTGTTGTAATTTTAAGGGTTACTCTTTAAATTACAGAAAATATCTGTTAATCCACAGTTATTACATTGTCTTTTGGAAAACGGTGACAAAGCTGTAGAAAAATACAGAAAATTGGATGTAAAATTACAGTTAAATATGTAGAAACTCAATGAATTGTACATGAAAAAAAAACATAATATGGCTGTAATCCTAAATTATGGTTAATTGGTGGTAATTTTAGGAGTAAAACCAAAAATTACAGAAAAAAAATTGTAAATCCATTGACCTTTCTTTGCATGATCTGAAAACGGGAAAAATCTGTTTAAAAATTTTTTAAAAAATTGTGTTTTTTCTGTAAAACTGCATTTTTTTTTTACAGTGTAGTGAGGATTAAGGTGCATAGATGATGGATAGATGGACATTAGTAATTCATTTTACACATAATTTGATATTATTTTTGGCCAGAAACTAATCAACAAAAAGTCTGAGGAGCCAAAAGAGCCAGAATGCCCTGCACTATTCCAGACAGTTAAAAGTAGTTTCCAAGGAAAATCCCATTGAAGACGTGTGGTTGAGTTCATGTGCAGTCAGTGTGCTGTGAGACAGGCCTGCATACATATAGGTCTGTGCAGACCAGCAGCAGCAGCAGTGAGTCTCTGGTGACAGTCATGTGATTTCCAGGAATCAGAGGAGGAGCTCTGAGTAACTCCGCAACAGAAGGAGGAAATGAACCCGTTCAGACTCCATTTTAGTGTCGACAGAGGAAGAAAACAAGGTGAGTGTTGGTCCAACATTCTTCTTCTTCTGCTGTCAGAAAACAACGATGAACCTTTGAACCTTATTTCTGTTCTGTTCTGGGGGTTCTTACATCACAGTAGAGTCTTCAGACTGACTGCCGAAGCAGCTTTTGATCCCCTGAAGTAATCTTTACTGAAACCGTTTCACTTTCTCTCTTCCATTTTAAACGTGGCAGATATGTAAAGATATCAGTAGCTGAAGGGCTGTTGGTGCAGCAGAGAACCAGGACAGGAGAAGGAAACACTGTCGGGGTGTTTGAGCAGCAACAGGAACTTGTGTGTTACGGATACTTTTTTATGAGCTCACAGTC